AATCTTATTTATTTATTTATTTATTTATTTATATTTCAAATTTAGTCACTGCCCATCTCGCTCAAAGAGTGACTCTGGGTGGTTTACAATAAAATAAGAATAAATACTAATTAAAATATAATAAAACAATGCTCATAAATAAATAATATCTTACAAGGCACTGATGGTAAATAAAGATTATTAACCAACGGGAGTGTCTTCAGGGTGCCAGCCACCCACAGGTTTGGTTACCCCTCCTGATTCCCCATGCGAGTTGACAGAGCCAGGTTTCTGGAAGGTCAGGAGAGTGGGGACCCGCCTCACCTCTGGAGGAGAGAGTGTTCCATAGAGCAGGGGCAACAGCAGAGAAGGCTCTCCTCCTGGGCCCTGCCGGTCAACATTCTTTCATAGACAGGGTCCATGACATACCTTCTTTGCCTGAGGGGTGGGACAGGTTGATGTAAAGGGGATGAGACAGTCCCTCAGGTAACCTTGTCCCATGACATGTAGGGCTTTAAAGGTGATAACCAACACCTTGAATTGGACCCAGAAGGAAACTGGCACCCAATGGTATTACAAGTGCCATCCTTGGGGCACCCAAAATTGCCTGTGTGGCTGCATTTTGAGCTACCTGTAACTTCCAGATACTCTTCAAGGGTAGCCCCATGTAGAGCACACTACAATAGTCTATATCGGAGATGACTAGGGCATGAGTGACTGACTGGAGAGCTTCCCAATCCAAGAAAGGCCGTAACTGGTGCGCAACAAAAAACTGAGCAAAGGCCCTCCTGGCCACGACTGTCACCTGCTCCTTGCAGGAGTTGTGAGTCCTGGAGGAACCCCAGATTCCGCACTGGGTCTGTCTGGGGCAGTGCCACCCCATCCAGAACCAAACACTCCTAGATACAGAAGAGCCCCCAACCCACAGCCACTCCATCTTACCAGGGTTCAGCTGAAGCCTGTTGTTCTCCATCCCCATACTCCATAGCCTCCAAGCACCACGAAAGGGTGGTCAGAGCATCCCTCAAATCACCCAGGATGGAGATGTATAATTGGGCATCATCTGCATATTGATGATACCTCATCCCATGGTGGCGGATGATCTCACCCAGCGGTTTCATGTAGATGTTAAAAAGGAGTGGAGAGAGCATTGAACCCTGAAGCACCCCACAAAGGAGGGGCCGCTGGACCTCTCACTCCCTATCAACACCTACTAGGACCAGCCTTGGAGGAAGGAGGTGAACCAGCACAAAACTGTGCCACCTACCCCCAATTCCCCAAGCCAACCCAAAAGGATACCATGGTCAATGGTATCGAAAGCTGCTGAGAAGTCAAGAAGAGCAAGGATGGATGCACTACCCCCATCCCACTCCCGCCAGAGATCAACCAAAAGTGCGACCAATGCTGTATAAAGAATTGTGGAATATCAAGTATTGGGGACAGCAAAAAAAAATCATGCTTCAATGTTGAAAAAAAACATTGTGACCCTAAATTTAAAATATGTGTACTTTTTCTGTTTATGAGCTAGCATTACATTATATTATACTACCTACATTCAATATAATGGAAACAATATCAATATTATTTTCTATGGCCAAGCTGTAATGATTTATTTAAAACCAGGCTGAATGATTTCTTGTATGCAATGTGTTTTTTCTCTTTTTTCTTTTTAGTTTTTTTCTCTTTTTTATATATTCAACTGAACATTTTTAGAAAGAGTGCAACTAATACAGGAAAAGGATAATTGATCTGCAAGAGATTCTGCAAGAAGTTTTCTAAGTCTCCAGATACAATAGAATTACTCATGAATAATGACTATTAATAGAAAACATCACATACAAATATGCAATACGTTCAGTTACCTTGGAAAAAAGTTTGCAATGTAAAAATTATGTAGAAACACATCTTACATCATAAAGAACGTGAAAGTTAATTGATCCCAAGACAGATGATCAACTTGTGGAGGTTAATATACATAACGGGCAAGCTAACCTTAGAACCTTCAGCATAAGAATCCAAGAACCTAAATATTTATGCATTGGCAGTCATTTATACAATGCAACACTTCTATCTAAATTTGGCAGATCCTGGTGAATTATAGCATTAGACTTTCCCTTTTATTTTACTGAACATCTCGCTGGATTTTGGAAAAGAGAAAAATACATTTGGATTCTGCTGTAAATCCCCAAACATTGCACTAAATTGTCTTTCACAATAAGATGTTTTTGTTCTTTCAAACTACAGCATTCCAGGTTTCAAAAAAGCATTATTTCACTCACCTGAGAAGTCCTTGTCCTGCAGAGTTTGCAGTTTGCTGTAGAGTTTGATGATGTTATCTAGCTTCCTGTTTATTTTCATATCTTGTTTCATGGCTGGCACCTCACATATTGGGCAAGCTGTGCCAATACAGTTGTCTACACAAGTTCTGAAAAATATAAACATGAGATTTTCACAGGGACAAGCAACAATTTCTAACAAGTGGTCAAGGAAGTCTTTACCTTAGAAATTAAGATTACATAAGAACAAGACAATCATTTACAATTCACTTAAAATGCAGAAGTCTTCACTGATAGCTTATATAGGTTAATAGTCTGATATACTAGCTATGTTCGCACATCACACCAAACCGTAATTTAGAGCAAAATGCACAAGTAAGAAGAAATTAGACAGAAAGACCGTAGTTTTAACTTTTGCATGTTCTCTCCTTTTGTGCAGATCATATATTTTAACTTTCTGGAGTCACCAGGCACAATTAACTGAGGCTATCCATAACCAAATATTTCAAACAAGCTGGCTTCATACTTGCTTCTGAAGCTAACTTGTTTATTTAAACCATAGTTGGTGATAATTACAATCCCTGGATCAAACAGGAAACTCACTGTAGTCAAAACAAATCAGTCAAGGTTCTCTGAAGCTCTATTTCTGATACTTCATATTATTACAAACAATCTATGTCAACATAGCTGCTGACAGGTTGCAATATATTAGGAAATTGTGGGTTCATTTCATTTCACTCAGTATTTAACAATGGTTAAAATATATTCAACTTATACAACCTCTCAGCATTCACTGGTATGAAAACAAAGTATAAAGTTGCTTTGAATATTACTATAGGTTTTGTTTTTAATAATAAGTTTTAGCAAGGTAAACAGGTTATAAATGAATTTTAAAAACCAAATCTGCTTCAAATAAAAAGCAAGCTTTTGTTTTCTGTTAGAGACACTGGTTCAGTAACTGTGCTGAAAACTGGTCATGATCTAACCAAGAATTAAGCACATTTTAAATCTGACCAAAATCAAGAGAAAAATAAGTTATCAGATATAAGTTATCAGTGAGGTGTTGAAATGCTTAATGTTTGCATAATTAGGCCAAAAACGTTTTGAGGTATAAAATCAGCAAAATAGATTTTTAATCCCCATCCTACCTAATGAGCTCTGGTTAACTCTTCAAATGAGAACAATAAACAAGACTTTGTAAGGTTCTACAGTGTAGGATAAAAGAAACGTAAGCGTAAAGATAGATTCTAGAAAAGCGACTCTCTACTTAGGGAAAAGCCATGTCTGCATTAAGACAAATTGTTCCATTTTCTCATTGTGCCTACAGAATATCCTTAGCTAAGGCTTTTCAGAATTATTCCCAATAATTAGAATCATAGTGGTAGAAAGGGCAATTTTATAATTGTCTTTTTCAGTGCAAGAATCCAAATTCAAGTATCTCAGACAGTGGCTGTTTAGCTCTAATTGAACATATCCAATATGGAGGAGCTCACCTCCTCTCTGCTTAATTAGTTCCACTGTCATACAGTTCATTCTGTTAGAAAGCTTTTTCTGCATTGATTAGAATCTGACTTCCTATAATATAAGTCCATTATTCCAGTTCCTGCACTATGTAAAGAGAGAGAACATGTGACGCCTTGTGTGACATCCTTTTAGGTATTTGAAGAATGCTATCACATACTTCTTAGTTGTCGTTTCTCAAAGCTAAACATAGATACCTTCTTCAATCTCTCTTCATAGGACTTAATTTCTACTCTCCTCATCATCCTCAACGAGCTTCTCTGAGCTTGTTCCAGTTAATCTGAATCTCACTTAGCATGGTGCCCAGAACCAGATATACCACCAAGGTGAGATCTGACTCAAGCAACATTTCCTTCCTGTAATTTGGACACTTTTTGTTGTTGAATTGCATATGTCATTTTTGTAGCCACAATAGATTCCTGGCTCACATTCAGCTGAGTATTAATTTTGGTCTAGGACCATAAATAGCTAAGCAATAAATCAAGTATTATCATTACTAAGCCAGGTATCCCCCATGCTATACGTGTGCATTTGATGCTTGCTTCTTAAGTGAATGTCTCCATTTGTCTTTTAAATTTTATCCTTTTGTTTTCAACTCATTTTTCTACCCTATCAAGATCATTTTGAATTTTATTTATCTTCTAGAGTATTAGCTATCTCACCCAATTTTGTGTAACCTGCAAATCTTATAAACATTCCTTCCAACTCTCCAAGTCATTAATAAAGATATTGAAGAGTTATCACCCTTACAAGTAGATGGCCCAGAACTGAAACTTGAGGCACCCTCGATATTTATTTCTAACTTGATGAGGAACTAATTATGAGCACTCTTCCAGTGTAATTTGCAAGCCAATCAGCCCTTGCTTAACTAGCTTACTAATCAGCATATCATGCAATACTTTGTCAAATATTTTCCTGAAAACAAGATATATTATACCTACAAAATTCCTACAATCTATTAATGAAGTTAACCAATTGAAGAGCCAACTAAGATTAAACTGACATGCTGATTGCTGGCAAGCATGACTTGCTGCCACATTGTTTTCAAGATGCTAGAGGACAAACTCTTTACAGTCTTCTCTAGAATTGTCCAGATTTTTTTAAAAAAAACATTTATTTACCTATTTTAAAAGGAAAAGGAGGAGAGAAGGAGAGAAAAAAATAGAAATTACAAATATTACATGAAAAGGTTTACAGAATAATTCAAGATAAAACTAAAAGAAAGTACAAACTGTTTCAACCCAATGGGTAATTGCATTTGAGTCTGATTTTATTCTGGGAAATCCAGTCCAGATGAAACTTTCATATGTAGTGGAACCATTATCATATGCAATGTGAAGTACTATTTCTAAAGACAGATAGAAATAGTCCTAAAACAGTTACAGACAATGGCCATTTTGTATATACAGGTAGTCCTTATTTAGTGACCTTTAGCAACTCCATCGCTAAGCAAAGCGGTCACTAAGTGGGAAATCACTCAACTGCGACTGTGCTTTCCAGCTCAAAACTGACAAGACTAACCAGTTTCACTCCTTCAGCTTTTGTTTGCCTCCTAACCACTCCTCTGCCCAGTGCTGGGATAATTAGCAAGAAGGGAATTAATGTTTATATTTACATTCATTGGAGAGGAAGAGATTTCAAGAGAGTAAGGCACACAATGGGGGATACACATTGAAAGCAATGTGGGGGAAACAACAGGTCAGGCACAGGAGATTGCCTACAGAAATTGCTTTTTTTTCCTTCCTCCCCCCCTCCTGTAGAGCGGAGAGATTGGAGAAGAAGAGATTACAAGAGAGTAAGCAGGCACACAATGGCGAATACACTGGGCTGTTTGTGTGGTGAGCTTGTGGCTCCCAGCCCCAAGCGTGCTCGGGGCTGCTGGCAACACCACATTCCTTTTGAAGTGTATTCCCCATTGTGTACCTCTTTAGTCTCTTGTAATCCCCTCCTCTCCAATCTCTCTGCTCTGCAAGGGGAAAAAAAAAAGGAAAGCAACAGGTCAAGAGCAGGACAACATATATTGACTCTAATGGCAATCATGTGACTGAGGGATGATGCCAAGGTCATAAATGTGGACATTGGTTGTAAAGGTTTTTTTTTTTAGCACTGTCATAACTTTGAATGGTCGCTGAATGAGGTAGTCAGTAAGTGAGGGCTATTTGTAGTTTGTATATATAGGTTCTGAGTGCTTCATGAATATTGTGGTGATAGGGTGACAATTCCAGAGGACAGGTAGGTGTGTGTGTGTGTGTGAGATTGGAGGCATTTAAATGCAACATAAGTATATCAAGCCTAGCAGATACTTAAATAATTTAATCCTTATTTCATCTACAATGGCAAAAAGAAAAAAAAAGCACCATAGCAAATCAGTGTTTTGCTGAGAGGGACAGGTACAGTTACACAAGGAGATAAAAACATACCCTGCAGTCACAAATTAAAAACAACAACACAGCATATTTAGAGAAACTTCAGTCTAAAAACATGATGAAAATAGGCAAGTTTGGGAGAAGATTCATAACAGCTCATTATGTCATGACTCACAGACAGAAGACATGTTCACAACTTCCTAGGTTCACAGGTTTCTTCAGAATGTTACTGCTGTCAAAAAGAGAATAGATTAAATAGAATTGAGTTATTTGTCCTAAATATTTGAAACAATGCATTTCCAATGCATCCTCAAGATAAATAATATCAAGATAAACAAGCTACAGTAACACACAGTTTTCTTCTACATAAAGAAAAACAAACTGTATATTAAGAAAAAATGGTGTTGTTCTTTCTTTCTACTAAAATAATGTCACTCCAGGCAGCTGCTCGTTGGGAGCTTTCCATGCAAAGAATTCCACCTCCCATATAACAAAACATGGCTGGCAATGTGGTGTCAATGATGGGCTGTAAATCCCATGGGTGTGCTTTAAGAATCTGGAGGACTGTTTAAACTTCCCTCTAAGGCAGAAGCAAGTGGGTTTACAATAATTAAAGGAAGCTTTGTTTGGTTGTGTCAAGACACCTCAAACTCATTAGCTATTAACTACCAGGAATCTTAGTCTTTTTAGGTTGGGAGCACATCTGGAATTTTGAAACCATGTTATGGGCCCACTCACCCAATGGCTACAGCCAGTCACAAAATACCCATGTGGTAGCAGCAAAGCAGCTAAATTACATTCCCTCTAATCCCCCACCACTATTGAGCAGATGGGCAAATCACCCCCAGCCCTCTTTTAATAAAGTAGCACCTTGTTATTTTTACTTTTTCAAAATGTCTCCAGGGAATATACAGAATGTAGAAGCACTGCTGAAAATGAAGTTTATGCATCAGGTTGGTACTTTGCAGCATATTATCTTCTTAATTATTATTTAATTAAAAGAATTTGAAAAATAAAATCAGGTGAGGCACAGAGCCCTGTAGGACCAGAGGGGTCCACAAAATCCATATTAAAGACCCAGAAATTAGAGCGTCTTTTACATGCTCTCTCACAATCAATTCATTACAGCATTGTTCAGAATATTTCTCATGGTAAGTTCTTTAGTATAATTCAACTGTGCTGAAAACCTCCATATAAATCTGAAAGAGCCTTCTAATGTGCTGATAGGAAGCTACAGACTGTTTTTGTAAACCTGCTTCTGTAAGGAATGTACAGGATGTGCACTATGTTGAAACATACTTTATTCATTCTGCAATATTGCAGTGATTTTGCCATTGAAACATCAGACCCAAACACAATGACATACATACAGTACACCCTAGAGCAACCTTCCTTGCCTGGATCAGCCTTTACAACCTGGCACTGTCTAGATGTTAAGGCTGCAATTCCTAATTCATTTGATGGATATTACATTGAGGAAGGCTGACCAGTGCCAACAGAGCAATCAACTGCTATCTGAGAAGTCTGTAAGTCAGGGAGTTGCATCACTGAACATTCTTCCAAAGAAAGTCATCCCCAGCACATAAAAAACCTAGCATGCTAAACTGAAAATGTCTATATTTTAGGGAATTCCCTGACACGTGGAAGAGCACTCAATTAAAGTAACCCCACCCAAAATAATAAAGGTCCCATTTCAAGGAGAACCAAATCTTAAAAAGAAAAACTAAAAGAATTTTGCTTGCAGTACATCCCTTGCTGAGAACTAGTTTGGTGTAGTGGTTAAGGCACCAGGCTAAAAACCAGAAGGCCATGAGCTTTCAGGCATGAAAGCTGGCTGGGTGGCCTTGGGCCAGTCCCTCTCTCTCAGCTCTGGAAGCAGGAAACAGGTCAAAATAACCTTGCCAAAAAAACTGCAGGGACTTGTCCAGGCAGGCGCCAGGAGTCAACACTGACTTGAAGGCACCAAAAAAAAAAAAAATCCCTTGCTAATGGCTAGATACTGTCTGTGCCACTTGATTCTGTTAAAAATACCACTTGCTGAATATTTTATATGGAGTGGGAAAAGGCTGGAGTGGGTGCTGCCTCAAATCATGAATCCCCCTAGCTTGGTACTATTGACAGGCTTTACACAACTCGCTAAACAATATGGTCTGTTGGCACAGGTTAGTTAGGGCAACCAGTTCTGGGCTGCAAACATCCGGACGACCACTGAATAGCAGCAAAGAGATGAAGCTTTCTGTACTTCTTTGCTTGATATCGTCTGGATGTTTGCAGTTGTGACCTGCTCGCCCTGCCTTAGATGATGTGTGAAACCCAATCATAGCAATTTACTCCATAAACTGTGGTTAAGCCTCGTTGCTTAGTCATTAATTTCAAACGTGCAACACTTCTGAAAGAAGCGCCCGTTGACCGAACCGTTTGTATATGCCAAATAACCATTTTTACTTCATAGGACCGCATTTCCAAATCCTTTTCCCCATCCAAAGCCCCTCTACCATCCCTTCCGCCCTCCTCTTGCTCAGGAATAAACGGTTACCAAAGGGAGCAGCTCAGGCTCTCCGCCAACCGCCTCAAAGCCAGTCGCGTCTCTTTCCACGGGGGTCCGGAGTGCGGATGCTGCTTCTGCGCCATATGGTCGGCGGGCTCATTACCGGAACGGCTCCGGAGTTTAGCAGGTCTCATAATTCTCCCTTCCCGCCCAGCTATAGGCCGGAGGACAAACTCATTCAGCCCCGAAGAGCTGGTTCAAATTCTGCGCTTTCCAACCTCCGCAAGACGCGCATGTCAGTCGAAGAGGGCGCACGCGTGGAACCGTAGAGAGGACGGATTAATACTCGCAGAGATTTGGTTGCTCGGTTTCCTAGCCCCGCCCCGCTTGAAGCTTTTTTTTTAATTGGCCCCTGTAAACAACATATATGAAAAAACAGTGATTTCATCCTTATGGCAATTCTAATCTCCGCTTAGTTAACAGAGAGAAGAAAGGGCCAGGGCCACGTATAAACCAGCTGTATGAGGCGCTTAAAGCGGAGCGTTTGCAAGAAGACCTTTTCCCCGCCTTCGGCATCCGCGCGGGAAACCCGACGAAGGGAACGTTCCCGAGCCCGGGAAAACTTTGCATGTGTGCGCATGCGTCTGCGATGACGCCGACGTTTTGCGCCTCTGGTTGATTGTTCCATTCGCTGATCGGGGCGGCCAGATAGGAGCTCAGAGGGCTTTTCCCGCTTGCTGGTGTGCGGGTTTATTGAGAAGGAAGATCTTTGGTCTTCGTTCTTTTGATCGTGGAAATGAAGTGAGCGCGTATGCAGAAAGAACGGAATTTGCTTCCGTTCGTTTGTGGTGCTAAGCCAGCCCCGTGTGGAGCTTTTCCGAATACTTTCGTTAATTGTCGTAAAGCTGAATATTGCAGAAGTGGTTTCTAAGTGTTAAGCTAACAAGATTTTTTTCCTCCAAACGATGACTTAAGAAAAAAATCTGAAGAGAGAGTTTTGGGAGACAAAGGATACTATAATCTCCAGTAACGTTTGTCGATGTCTGGAAATGCGTGTATTTTGTTACAGTTGCAGTTTCTGTGCATCGTAAAGTGTTCCTTCCAGCAGCATTATGGTTTAACAGTGAGTGTAGATTTAAATAAGCACATAGATAATAATTATTCCTTACCATACCTTTGTTTGAGGCAGTCTGAAATCCCAGCATGAATTCTGCCGTGGTTTTGCGGCAATGCACCCTGCTCAATCGATCAGTCTGTTAGCCTTGATGGCCGTGGGACTGCCTCTGAAGGCCACCTGAAGGTCGAGTAGAGGGCTTCCTTGTGCAGCTGGTTGACCACTGTGAGTACAGACTGCTTATGGTCTTAGGAAGTTTCTGGGCATTTAAAAAAGAAACCTGGCAATATGACTTCCACCTTTATCTGCAGTTGCAGAGCGGTAGGTATCTTATTAGATGTGAAAGCCAACTGGGTGACTTTGGGCCAGTTGCACTCAGCCCAGCCCAACTTACAGGGTAGTTGGGAAAACAGGAGGTGGGAGCATTATGTATGCTAATTGAATTGTACCAAGTAACAACAGGATATCAATGCAATAATAATATGGTGCCATACAACATGATAAAAGTTATATGATATTTCAAACACTGGTTACTTTTTCACTGATTACACTACAATTGATATTCATATTTATTGATTTAGTTTATTAAATTGATTTACATCGCTGCCCATCTCCCCATTGTGACTCTGGACAGCTAAGACCACATAAAAACCCAGCACAATTTTTTCCCCCAAAAAGAACAATATATATATAATCTGCAATGACAGCCGAGGCAAGGCTCCAACGCACACTAAAATGACCACAACGTATGGGCTTCAAACTAACTTCCTGCCTCCCATGGTTGGGAACACACCCACGTCTTTAGGGATGGTGTTCCAAAGGGTATTATAAAAACAGTGCATGGTGCATTCTGTTTATTGATGTGTCCACTTGGAAAAGCACTGCCACACAGCAGTGCCTCAGAAACACAACTGATTAAATCCTATACAATATTATATGATCATAGGAAACACCACAATTATTCTAACCAATTTCATTGGAGTCAATTTTCTAAATGGAAGAAAGACAATTAAAATATTTCCTCATCTCCAACTGGTGGAGAGAGATGTTTGAAATTAAATTCATTGTCTGAAGAAGTTCTAAGAGTTGAGCCTTTTAAGTGCTTGATCCAATGATACGGCTACCAGTAATTCACACTATTATCTATGCATCCTGTATCTTTTGCTTCTCACAGAGCCAGATTCATCCTGCTGCTACACAGATGCTTCCTAAAATATCTTACATTTGAGCATCCAAATAGGAACAAGAGATGGTAAAATAAACTATAGCTCATCCAAGTTTAAGCAAAATTTAAACATGAGTATTAATCTGCATAATTGCTTTTTTGGATAAAAAGGACAAAAATTGTGTAGAAAATAAAAACAGTCTGTTTCAAATACCCATACTTGGTGCTTGAAAAACCTGTATGTCATAGCATTATTAACGTGTATTTTTCTATATATCTCACTCATTTATCAAATTATTTGACACATTATTTTTCTGCAGTAACATTTCATGGTTCAGCCCATCCCATTTTTTTTACTGAATACTGTTGTTTTTTTTAAAGACACCTTTGTAGAAACCTGCATACCCAAACCTCTACCGATATTTGTAATTACTGAAGCATACAAAGCAGTTATAGGAGAATTTATCACTTTCAGATAGAAATACTCTAAGCCCAATAAAAGATAGAATGGGGATGCCAAAAGCAATTTATAACAGGCTCACTGACATTTTGTGTCATGAAATCCTACCTCAAGTCATAAATCTCTATACAAATGTGTTTAGAGCAGGCAAGTTATTCTTAGAGGGAGCTTCATCATAAGAATTTTGTGACGCAGAGCAGTAAAATTTAGTTGACAATATTCCTTAAATAATAACTGTCAGTAGAACATAACAAACAGCTCCCACTACACAAGCAATGGAGACTTATTATATTACATTACATTATTTTGCAGTTGAAGACCACAGTTACTGAAGAGAAATCTATATATAGACAAATAAGTAAAAATTGAATTCATAACTAATATATATCTCTAATTAAAATGTCAAGAAACCAGAACTTTTCTGAAACCAGAACTTTTCTTGCTGAAACTAATGGACAGACAACTAGAAAAGACTTAATGGAAGATTGTTTTTGTACATGGTAAATGCAGGGAGATTATTATATGCACAAAGATGAAAAGACCCTGAAATACTCACAATGGAGGTGAAGAATGCAGAATTTGCAGAGTTGGCAAAATTGACTTCTTTGATTAGAACAGTGTTGTCCAAACTTGGCCACTTTAAGATGAGTGGACTTCAACTCCCAGAATTCCCCAGCCAGCCATGC